CGTATGTCTGCCTGTACTGTGACATAACCGTATATATCTGCCTGTACTGTGACATAACCGTATGTCTGCCTGTACTGTGACATAACGGTATGTCTGCCTGTACTGTGACATAACCGTATATCTGCCTGTACTGTGACATAACCGTATGTCTGCCTGTCTGCCTGTACTGTGACATAACCGTATGTCTGCCTGTACTGTGACATAACCGTATGTCTGCCTGTACTGTGACATAATCGTATGTCTGTCTGTACTGTGACATAACCGTATGTCTGTCTGTACTGTGACATAACCGTATGTCTGCCTGTACTGTGACATAACCGTATGTCTGCCTGTACTGTGACATAACCGTATGTCTGCCTGTACTGTGACATAACCGTATGTCTGCCTGTACTGCGATATCATCATATGTTGGTCTGTACTGCGATGTTACCGTCACCACAATTTCCATTTATTCTGTGACCTTACCGCATACATTTTGTATCAGTCTGTACTGCAACATCAATGCATGTCAGTCTGTACTGCAATGTCACATGCTAATTCAGGTGAGATGGTGATATCTTTGTCGATAGTTTGCTTCATGTAGCTGATAAGCATACAATGCTTCAACAAAATGTATAATTACTCATTTGCTATGTAGATCAGTCGTTATAAATGACGCTATGAGCTCTACATGTATTAACCCTTTTCTATCCCATAATTTTTTCCACCAAATATTTGAGAAAACAAAAGCTGACTTGGGTCAAAGGCACGGTTAAGGGTTAAGGATTAAAAGGTTGAAGCATCATTGGATTTTGAATGGTTCATGAAAAATCTTACCCAACAGAATTCTGAAATTAAAAGACATTTCTATACTAAACTGAAGTAACCTCAAAACTAAATAAAGTATGTTTGATTTGTGATCAACTTTAGCTTTCCAATTTTTCAGGATTTGTTGCCACAACAACTGATTTCATCATAATTTTTCTTAGTGATCACAATAATCAGTAGAAGGTGTTCTGCATATAAAAGGCGATAATGCAACTTTGACGAGTGGATGTGACCGACTTGCTGAGTTCCATCAATTAAATACAAAGACCAAATAAAAGTTGTGGAAACACTTGATACTCAGTTGACAATTTTAAAATGAAAATTTATTAAAGTACATAAAACTGAGTTTATTAGTCCCTGTTCGGACGAAGTCCGAAAACGGGGACTTATGTTTTGACCTCCATGTGTCCATGCGTGCGTGCGTGCGTCTGTGCGTGCGTCCGGACCTGTATCTTAGAAATGCCTGGACCAATCACAATCAAACTTCACACATACATCATACATGATATCATACATAATGTATGCACGTCAATTTGTTTCACGATCTGATTCAAGATGGCTGTATGGCGGCCATTTTTGTGCTAAAAATCATCAAAATCAAGCATTTCCCGGCTGTTTACAGATGGATTTTGTTCAAACCTTGATATATACATTAGACATTATGTGATCTTGATGCAAATAATTTTGTTTTTCAGATAACATTCAAAATGGCTGACTGGCGGCCATTTTGTTTTAATGAATGGGCTTCTAGACCCATATTTCCAACTTGTTTTGACTGATTATGTTCAAATTTTAAATATTCATTATACATCATGTCATAGATAGACAGATATATTGGTTTGACGATCCTATTCAAAATGGCTGAATGGTTGTCATTTTTGTGCTGAAAAATCATCAAATATCAAGCATTTCTGGCATTTATGGATGGATTTCGTTCAAACTTGGTACATACATTAGACATTACAGGTTCCTGATGCACATCATTTTAATTTTCAGATCAGACTCAGAATGGCTGACTAGTGGCCATTTTGTTTTAATGAATGGGTTTCCAGACCCATATGTCTGACTTGTTTTGACTGATTATGTTCAAATTTCATATATTCATTATACATATATTCATAATGGCTGATTTTGTTTTAATTAATGCTGTTCCAGAGCAATATCTCTCAATACTCGTTTGACGATCAGATACAAATGTCAATCATTTAAATGTTAAACAATCATCATATTCCTGACATGTTTATATTCCAGCTATATTACTATAAACAAAACTTTATATCTTAAATTTGATAACTAATGGGGACTGTGCCATGCATGGCTTGTTTTTGACTCCTGTGTGCGAAGCACAAAAAGGGAGTCTTTGCAGTTAGTGTGTCTGTGTGTGTGTGTGTGTGTGTGTGTGTGTGTGTGTGTCTGTTCCACTGATATCTCAAGAACCATACATTGATTTTTGATGAAACTTGGTGCATAGATGCTCTGGGCCAATGCGCAGATTTGCTTAGGTTTTGGTAAAAATTCATGCATATTAATTTGCATGATAATTAGCTGATTTTTAGCTATTCCATGATGGTTCCACTGATATCTAAAGAACCACTCATTGGATTTTGATGAAACTTGGCACATAGATACTCTGAACTAATGCGCAGATTTGATTAGTTTTGGGTAAAAATCTGTGCAATATTAATTATCTAATTTGCATAATGATTAATCAATTTTTGGCTTTTCCATTGATATCTCAATAAAACATAGATATCATAGGACACTGCACAGACCTGATAGTTTTTAGGGTAATATCAGTACATATTAATTACCTAATTTGCATAATTAATTAATTTTCAGCTTTTGATATTTCAAGTAGTAATCATCACATTTCAATGAAACTTAGTACATAGTTACTTAAGGACTGTGCAGAGACCTGATTAGTTTGGGGGTAAATATTTGTGCATATTAATCACCTTATTAGCATAGTGAGTTAATTTCAGCTTTTCACCTGATAACTCAAGTACTGATCACTATATTTCAATGAGACTTGCTACATAGATCCTCTAGTACTATGCAGAGACCTGATTAGTTTTAGGGTAAATAATGTGGATATTATTAACCTAATTTGCATAATTAGTTTTGGGTTGAAATTTGTTCATATAAATTATCTAATAATAATTCACAGTTTTTTTGTTCTAATCACATTTCAATGAAACTTAGTACATAGAAATTACATTACGCAGGCCTTATTAGTTTTACACTCAAATCTGTTCATATCAGTTATACCTGATTTACATAATTAGTTTTCAGCTATTCCATCAATATCTCAAGTACAAGTAATTTTTAATTAATTTTTAATGTGTCTTCAATACTCTCAGCACACGGGAGTTCTTTCTATGCTTTCTTAGATTCTTCAATTAGCCTAGCTTTCACTTTCATAATTCCTGGAAATTCTCTTGTCAAAAGTGCATTAGTGATGTCCATCCAACTACCAGCTGGTGAAATCTGAGACTGTGTACATTACCGGGTATTGTCAACTCATGAGTGTTTATGTTGCATTTTGCAGGAGATGACACAGTACTACAGCAAATCTATGAACAAAGACTGAATGAAGCGTTAGAGAGGCTTCGCTATGCCGAGAAACAAAACCAGGCTAGATCACAAGAGCTGTACAGGTTAAAGGAACAGATAGCAGTGGCTTTTACTGACAACCGAGTCAGTCACAATAATCATACTAGCAATGCAACAGTCAACAGAGAAAATGGTAAGTTGAAACCAGTGATCACATAAATTCAAATAACGTTTCTGCCTTTCAGATTTTCTCAATTTCTTACCACAGTGGATATGATACTTTACCCATAATCCTTTGCTGGAGCATCAAGATGGCAAACTACATAATACTGACAAAAAGTTGATCAAGAGAATAAAAAGTGATATAAAAACTATGAATTATTTTGTTCCTACATTTGTAGAGCTCTTTCATCTGGGAGCTTTATGTTAATTCATGTAGCTTGGACTATTTCTTCAAAATCACAGCAATGGGCACAGTACTCTTTAGAAATTTAGCATTTAGAAATTGGACATAAAGTCAACTTCTAGGCTATGGGGTACACATAGTTCCACCATATGGATGCTATCTTTAATAGACTGTAGCTCTAGAATTTTATAAAAACAAGAAAAGCCTGCGTATTTAAACTTTTGTGGCATTGAAATAATATTGAGACTGTAAATTTCCCCGAGTTTAAGAAACCAAGATTCTTCATTGACTTGTCTTACTTTTTTTGTTAGCCCAGTGTGGTCCTAGCATCCTGAGTAAAATATTTTCAACCAATTTGCTAAGGGATGATTTGTGAATATACAAATTAAACTAATGATCGTTTGGCGATTTGGTGCGAAATCTTGCGTATTACATGAAATGATTTGATTTTGAATTTATTTTTAGCTGAATGCCGATCTTTGACAGGGGAATATTGTGTTGAGATACCCTTATGACATTATAAATTGAATATCATCAAATGTGTACAGCACATTATTACACTGTAAGTGTGAATATACCCCCAAAATATTTTCTCATTTTTTTAATCCCATGCAATATTTTGCCATTATTATGGCCTTTGTTTGTCCTGTTTTTACGTTTGATTTGACACATAACGCAGGATCTTGCAGTGAACGAAAAATGGTCTCTTAACACAAAGAACAGCTGAGCATTTATTATTCAGACACTCGGTTCCCACTCACAATTTATTCACACTATAGTGACGAAAACAATTAATAAAACTCTTCATGCAATATGTTCATTTGTACTTCATATATAAAATTTAAATAACTATAGGCTGAATTGAATTGTTATTGTGAAACCACAGAAAGTGATTAGTTGAACTCGTATAGCAATGCGATATGTTTGTACATGATTTACACACACACATGTACATGTAGAATGTAGACAACGTGTGGTCAGCTTGTTGTTTGTACACAAATACTCATGTACACTCATTGTGAATGGATAAAGCATGTCAGGTACTATTAATTAATAGTGTAAGCCTCCACTGAAATTGCAAAATCAATAGGAATAAAGGGCATCACCAGGCAATGTGGTTAACAATGTATGAGTTGTATATCTAGTACGTACCCTAGCTGGTATATTATATGTATACAAATATTGAGCTTACGTATATTGTGTGTGTTGGATTTCGTCTCACATCTACAACATATGCTTACTTATATGTTATTCTGGTGGTGCTGTTTGACTATGATAATTTTTCTCTATTTGGTCAGAAGTGATGACAATTCAGGAAATCCATTTCAATCAGGATATATGATAACAGTTAAGGCTCACTGGTGAACTTTTTTCACCTTTTCACCAATAAAATCTGCATAATTTTTTTCAGATTTTTTTAATATTCTTTGACCTGTAGTGAATAAGAAATTATGTCCATTACCTGTAGGTCTAAATTTTAATAAAAAATATCATAGAAAAATACATACAAATGTGCCAAAATGTATGAATTTTTCTGATTTCTCTGACTTTGCTTCCAAAGCATGTCTTAAATTCACTAACTATTCTTGTTGCGCCACAGTGGTTGCGCCACATGTGTGTTCGATATAGGTCTCATGCGACAAATACAACACATTTGTTACATAGGCCGTGAGCATGAACTGTGTGATATGTGGGGCGCTTCAAGAAATCCATATAAAAGTACGATACTTGATGAGTTGTACGGTACTGCCTGCTCTTCTCGTATCATGCCAACTTGAGGTTGGAATTCCAGCCCCGAATTATGTACGCATATATACAGTGCGATGGCTATTCAAGCTAATTAATTAGTCAAGACATAACAAATCAATTAATTTATACATTGAATTCTCTGATCTCAGTGTGACACATCAGGTTATCAGTACGTACGTTTATTGCTGCGTTAAGATGTTCAATTCCCAATCATACCTAATCCTTTTTTTTTTTCATTCATGTACGTCAGTCTGTAATAGGCTATTTCCTGGTTTGACTGATCTTCAAAGTGGATAATGGTCACTTGAGACATTTGATAGGAAATTGATAGAGAAGATCACTGTCATGTTAATTCTCATTGACAGTACATAGTGCTCTTTATCTGAGTGTTGCATCCAATTTTTTTTGTAACAGTTCTTAATTTTTGAAGGAATTACTCTCCCGGATAGATCAGAGATCGTGGGATATGTATCGGTTACTTCCACAGCTTTTGTGTTGATGTTTCTTACTCTGAAGCATCACTAATTTTATCCATTCATGGTTACTTCAAGGTTTTTATACGATACAGTAGATGTTCTAATCCCAAGAATTTATTTACTTTACGATTATTAATTGATTGCAAATTTGTTCAATAAATATATTACTCACAGTTGTGCAATTTTTCTTAGCAGAGTTTTAGTTGAGTAGCCTCCTGAGACTTGGGTACCTACATAGGCAGTCTGAGTAAAATCAGGTGTATTTGTATGGCTTGTATTTTACTCATATATTTTTATTTTACTAGATAATAGATTTTTATTAGCTCCGCTGTCGACTTTGTCGAGCGGAGCTTATCATATGAGTGATTGTCCGTCGTCGTCCGTGTCAATGTTTTACTTTTTGACTTCTTCTTGAAAACTACAAGCCTGAATGCTTTGATACTTGGTGTATATGTACCTTGGGTAGACCTCTCTTAGGTTTGTTCATTTCATGATG